GGTTCCTGTAGGAAATCTGCCTGTTGGGATCCTTGCTTTGCTTTCTGGTAGTTCCTGCTTATGCTGTAGTTCATGTAGTTTGGTCTCTAATAATGTTTAACCTCTCTAAGCTTGCAGGAGTCAGGCGCCACAGAAGGTAAAACTCAGTAAAGATTTTATTGTAATGCCTATTTACAGTGTAACTGATGAGTCCTTCAGCTGTGATGGAATCAGAGTTACTGAAGCCCTGCTGTGTGTCTGAGAGGACGACCAGCAGCTGCTCTTAGAGGTCGTCCAGAGGTCATGTGACTGATGGTGGTTGTCTCTATCCCACAGGGATGTCTGAGTCCGAACAGTTCCTGAAGGGGACGTCTCAGATCAAGATCCTGTCTCCTGAGGACATCGAAGGCATGAGAGTGGTGTGCAAGGTAACTCCGCCGACCTCTGACCTCTCACTGTGTGAAGATGTGCTCTGACCTCTAACCTCTGTGCAGCTGGCACGGGAAGTCCTGGACATCGCCGCCCTGATGGTGAAGCCGGGCGTCACGACAGAGGAGATTGACCACGCCGTTCATCTGGTATGGCAGCAGAAACACGCAGAGCAGAACGATTTCCTTCTGCTGAGTCACACGGAGACAGAAACATAGAAAACTGCCAGCAGATTTCAGGTCATGCTGGAAATGAAGAGGGAGAGAGAAGCTGCTCAGACGTTTCCTCAGCTTCCAGGTGAATCAGCAGCTAAGCTCTTTCATTAGCATCAGCTGCGTCGTGTTTTCACAGATTTGGCTTCAGGCTGCAGCAGGACGGCTCCCCAGAGGGAAACCTGCTAACGTCTGAGCGGCTTTATGTTCACATTATCTGTCTGCTGAGAGCATCTCAGAGCGCCGTCATCATAACAGCTGATCAGTAATGAAAGCTCTGATCGGTTCTACGTGGCTCTGCTCTGATGCAGCCACTGCTGGTTCTGCTGCTGGTTCTGCTGGGTCGGCGCCCACCAGCTGCTGGTTCTGTGTGTTCCAGGCCTGCGTGGCGAGGAAGTGCTACCCGTCTCCTCTCAACTACTACAACTTCCCCAAGTCCTGCTGCACGTCTGTCAACGAGGTGATCTGCCACGGCATCCCGGACCGGAGAGCTCTGCAGGACGGAGACATCCTCAACGGTCTGCTGGGCGGGGCATGGGAGGGGCATTGGGGAGGATCAGGGGGTATTAATGATGAATGTTTCATCCAGTTTTAGCCTCTCTCTGCTGCCACTCGTCTCCCGCCGCTCCGCTCTGACAAGACGGATCGTTTCATTATCCTTCAGTCAGACCCCCCCACATGGCAGATCCTCCTTTCTGCAGCTTCTGATGATTAATCGGATAAAAGATTTCCACATTATGCAGATTTTTCATTTTTAACTTTCCTCTTGAGCCTTTTTGTATACATAATAAATATATTATCAGTCTGACCAGTTTTTCACCAAAATCAACAAATGGCAGCATTTTTTCACAGTAATGATTAATTCTGAGTTTATTGCAAAAGTGTTTGAAAACTTTGGGTTGAAGTGACTCCAACTCCCACCTGCAGGTGGCAGTATTTACTCTACTACTCTGCCGTCTCAGCCTGACTTCAAGTGACGAGTTAGAAAATTCACATTTAGCAGAAATGTAGAACCACAAAATCAGTGAGTTTGACTGGGAAAAAATCACAACAATCCCAAAGTCCAGGAGGAACTGATTAAAAGATGCAAATGAGCAAATAATTCCTTTTTAAAATGAGAAATAAATGTTTTACAACAGCATTCCTTTAGTAAACACTTCATCATTTGTTGCAAAGGATGCGGATTGTTTTTACAGTCTGCATCCTCCAGTTAACGATCAATCGATTACTAAATTAGTCGACAGTTATTCCAGTAATTGATTGATCTGGTTAATTGATTTTACCCTAATTGAGTTGGACATGTTTGTCTTCCGCAGTGGACATCACCGTCTACCATAACGGTTTCCATGGCGATCTGAATGAGACCTTCTTCGTGGGCGAGGTGGAGGAAGGAGCCAAGAGGCTGGTGCAGACGACGTACGAATGCCTGATGCAAGCCATCGACTCGGGTATGAAGGCGCTCCGCTGCCATGTGTTTGGTGTCTGATGGTGTCTGACCCTAGTGTCGCCCCCGCCCACAGTGAAGCCCGGGGTGCGCTACCGGGAGCTGGGGAACATCATCCAGAAGCACGCTCAGGCCAACGGCTTCTCCGTGGTGCGCAGCTACTGCGGCCATGGGATCCACCGGCTTTTCCACACGGCACCCAACGTCCCACATTACGCCAGTGAGTCGCAGCGGGAAGCTACGGCAGGCCAGTTTAACATGAAATCACCACATTCCACAAATCTGAAAATGAATTTTATTACACGCATTTTTATCAAAACATATTGACAAAATATGCAACATCTTCAGTTCAAAAACTTTGTTGAGAGTGAGTTAAAATCTTAAACGCTTTAAAGGCCCAGCCATGAATATTTTATATCTGAATTAAGAAAGACCCATGTGATGCCACTGTGCTGTCCGATCAGTTGCCTGCAGAATTTGGGGTTTTCTGCATAAAATTGTCTGAAAATGTCAGATTTTCAGTCAATTTCAGTCTTCAGAAATCTGGATGTTTTCTGTCCTGTTTATCATGAAACCAAAGAGAAAAACATGGTGGATACAAGAGGAGTGCTTTGATGTAGTCTCTCCCTTCATATCACTAATTTCACTCAAGATTTTAAAGTCTGCTTCCTCGAGCTGAAAATGACTAAATTTGTGTTTCTTGTTTAGCCAGAATTTAATTAGAGATATCTTAAAGGGCCAATATCATGTAAAATCGACTTTTTGATCTTTCATCATATTTTAATGTTTTTCCCTCGTCATAAACAAACCTGCAGTGTTTCTTTTATTCTGTCATGTTTGAGAAATACTTTGTTTACATGGCAACCATTCAGCTGTGCAAAATGCCTGGGTGGACCTAGCCCCGCCCTCGAGGCGCAGCTCCTCCCCCTCTCAGCTCCTTCAGACTAGCCAGCAGCAATTAGCAAACAGCTGATGGAGCTGCTGAGGTCATTATCGGAGCTGCTGCTCAGAGCGAGGCTGGTAAAACCATTAAAGGGTTAACAGAGGAGCCATGTTGGGATGACTTCCTGGAGGTGGAGCTTCAGGAAGAGAAGGAGGTTTTAAAGAGACAGAGGTCCAATTTAAAGTGCTAAATCAGGAAGTAAAGTTGTATTCGATAGTTGCATGATTTTTATAATAACTGAGAGTGGATTGTTCTTTAAAATGGAAAATTTGTATTACTGCCCCTATAATGAACTAACATGTTTGATTTCTGATGAAGTGAATTTCATGCTATAACGGCCTGCCATACAGAATCTGGTCGGGACTCTTTCCATCACCCTCATTTCTGTCTTTTTCCCCAGAAAACAAAGCGGTTGGGGTCATGAAGCCGGGTCATGTGTTCACCATCGAGCCAATGATCTGTGAGGGTGAGTGACGCTGTGGGTCGCCTGCAGGACGGCAGTCCAGCTCTGGCTAATGCCTGGTGTGTGTGTGTGTGTGTGTGTGTGTGTGTGTGTCCAGGCGGCTGGCAGGACGAGACGTGGCCCGACGGCTGGACGGCGGTGACCCGGGACGGGAAACGGTCAGCCCAGTTCGAGCACACCCTGTTGGTGACGGAGACGGGCTGTGAGGTTCTGACGCGCCGGCTGGAGGACAACGGCCGCGCTCACTTCCTGGCCCAGATGTAGGCGCCGCCGGAACCGGCGCCCAGGACTGGACCCGACCAGACGCCCGGCATCGCAAACTCACTCACAGCTCAAAGGAAACTCTGAATTAAAATGGGTTCCTCAGATGAAGTGGAAGTTCTGGAATGTGTCTGTAAAGTTTTCTCAGTTTGGTCAGAGTCGTCAGGAGGAAGCAGATATTTATGAAGTTCACCCACGCTTTGCCAGAACCTTCCTCGAGGTTCTTCTCCAGGTAGAAAAAGTTCCTGGAAAGTTCTGGAAAAGTCCCAAAAGAATGAGTTTAGGTTTGGAGAGGCAGCAGAGTTTAAATCTTTATTTCCAGAGCAGAATGTGGCGCAGAGCTGCAGCTTTAACTCAAACCATCATCATACGGCCATCCCGAGCTAGCTTAGCTTACGATGCAGCTGCTGCATGACGGAGGTTCTGGTACCGTGAGCTCTGGTGTAGCAAAACGAGCCTTAACGTGTGGATGTGTGACCTCTGACCTGCTCGTCTCGCCTTCATCCTGCGTCACCTGGATGCCGTCGTTGTTTCTCTGCAGTCTTTGTACTTCTGATGGAGTAATAAATGACTCTTCTGTAGCTCCGTGTGACTCGGTTTGTCCAGAGATCCAAACCGGATCGGCAGACTGGAGGTCATGCTCCAGGAAAAATAACCAGGATTTATCAGCTTCTAACTTTCCCAACTTATTCGATTATACTGTGTGACGTAAAGCAATTTATTTTTTGTTGATACGGAGAACCAATCCTGTCAAAATTGGCAAACAAAATAGAAATTAATGACTAGATCAACTAAAATGGAATAAGGAACATCAAATAAAAACTTTCCCAACTTATGAGTATACAGTGTGACTTGTTTATGTGGAGAACCAATCCTGTCCAAATTGGCAAACAAAATAGAAATGATTTGATTATACAGTTTGACAAATGTATTGTCAACAGTATTAAATTATTACTATTATTCAGTTTTCCACTTTATTTCCAATATTATTGTGTTAATTGGCTTCCTTGATTTATTTTCCTCAATATTCTTTTTTATTTTATTTTTTACATTGATTTTTGTCTATTTAGATTTTGTGTTTTCAATCCAGTCAGCTTCTATTGGTCAACATCTATATCCAAGCTCGAAGTTGAGATTTTGTTTTTGGATACAGTATTTTCCATATTACTTTATCAAGCCTTTTATTTTTATTGCCAACTGTGGCAGGATCAGTCCTCCATATATGAAAATTCCAACTCAAACACATAAATTCAATGTTTCATCTTTTTAATGTGTAATCATTCACTGGAAAACGGTTCATTTCCGGTGTATTATTGATTAATGTGATCATTTCTTGTGAGATGTTTCTGCGGTCTCCATCCCAGCTCTGACTGTCAAACTGAGAAACACTCAGGGTTTCCTCTGGCTGCTTCATGCAGTTCAGTCTGTACGTTTCCTGTGCCACAGTGTGGCACAGTGAGGCTGACGGACCTCGTCATGTTCCAGCAGACGGAGCGCTGAGGATAAAAACCCAGAATAAAACCAAACATCAGGACCGGCTCTGGTTCTACTCAGGAGAAACCTTCATGACGACCCGGACGCTGTGGAGCAAACACAGGAATAACTGAGCAGCTGCTGCTGTGTGAGCATGTTGGCGACGAACCGGGTCGGTACCATTGGGAGTTCCGCATCAGCTCTATGGCGTCGTTGACCTGCTCCAGCGCCATGTTGTGGCTGATGAACTCGTCCAGCTTCACCTTCTTCTCCAGGAAGGCTCTCACCATCCCCGCCACGCCGTCTTTAGCTTTAAACCCTGAGGCGGAGAATCCGGTCCAAACGGATCAGAACATTTGAAGCTGACTGTAATCTGGTGAAAGACTCGTGTACAGCTGCTGTCATCAGCATGACCGTCAGCAGAACCAGAGCAGAACCAGAGACAGGCTCACCTCCAAACATGGAGCCCTTCCAGGTCCGCCCGCAGATCAGGTGGCGCGGTCGGATGGCGATGTCGAACATGTCGGTCCAGCCGACCACCACGCTGACGCCCCAGGCCTCCATGCTGGACTCCAAGGCGCTGCGCTGGACGGACCAGCAGAACACGGTCAGCCCGGTTCCGCTCTCCAGACTAACACAGAGCATCGGTCCCTCACCATGACCTCCACGTTCCCCACGCACTCCAGGGAGAAGTCCACCCCTCCTCCGGTCATGCCAGAGATCACCTCATGGACGGGCTGGCTGTGGTCTTTTGGGTTCAGGAAGTCGGTGGCGCCCAACTCTTTGGCCTTCTCTGCTTTGTCCGGGTTGATGTCGACGGCGATGATCCTGCTGGCTCCTGCCGCCTTGCAGCCCATGACGGCAGCCAGGCCCACGGCTCCCAGACCGAACACGGCGCAGCTGGAGCCCGCTTCCACCTGGACACACACGGAAACACAAAGTAATCCCAGACTTCTGCCATCTGGGACCGGATTAAACAGAACAGAGTTAATCTCATGGCCTGTTATTGGACAAAACATTAAAACTGAATGTGTTAGCTTAGCAAATGCTAACAGCTTATGCCGCCAGCCTTATGCTAAACATATTATTTAGTGTAAGCTAATGGTAAAGTACTATACAACGTATTATTTAGCTTAAGCAAACACTCAGGTACAATACTAACACAATATTTAGCAGAAGCTAAAGCTACATGGTTGTTGGTATCCAGGATGTGTCCAGAGCGGGTCGCATCATTATTACTATTAAAGTCTTGACTCACTTCAAAGTAAAAGCATGACGTCTACATACTTTAAGAGTTAGATGTTCCAGTTTAACTCTTTAAAACCAAGAAACAAGAAAGTTTTATTTTCCAATGAATAACACTTCTTAACTAATGTCAAACTTTACTTAACTGAAAGTTTTACAAACAGCTGAATTAATTAGTACTTTAGAATTTACCTGGAAAATGTAATTTAGGGGAAGCTAAGTGCGCTAAGTAAAACGTTCTCCGCTGTTAGCGGACTAGTGGCAGTGCGGGCCCGGCTCTCAGGTCCCTGTGGCGTCCCACCTTGGCGGTGTTCACCGCGGCTCCGTAGCCGGTGCAGATCCCGCAGCCCAGCAGGCAGACCTTGTCCAGAGGAGCCGCGGGGTCGATCTTGGTCACAGCGATCTGGTTGATGACGGTGTACTCAGAGAAGGTGCTGGTTCCCATGAACTGGTGGATCCTCTTCCCCTTACAGGTGAACCTGGACTCCACTCCGGCCATAATTTCTTGACGAATTCTGGTCCTGATCAAGACAGTTAATGAGATAAAGAGCTGTGTTTGTCCTTTACTGGGAAAATGCCACCAGAAGAGGCTGAGGATGGAGCGCAGCAGGCCAGTCTCACCATGCTCTCTCACACTGGTTGGTCCTCGGACTCTTACAGAACCGACATTCCTTACACTGGCAGAGGAAAAGAGGAATCGCCTTGTCTCCTAGGAGACCAAAAGGAGACACTAAATATTTACTCTGAAGCTATACGTTTAGGTACAAGCTAAATATTTAATTTGTGTACTAAATATTTAGCTTGCAAACTTAACATTTATTTAGGAACTATGATATAGTAATGAATGATTGACATGGTGACAAACGAGACGCATTCTTATCCTCTTCTGACAATCTAAATGACCCAAATTATCGATATTAATTTGCGACTCTGTGTTTTACATGGCGTCTCCTAGAAGGGTGGCGGGTTCTGGGCAGAAACCCGCCGGTTCTCCAGGAAGGGAGGAGTTGAGGCAGCAGCAGGTGACCTGTTGACTGGTTGGTTAGAGTCTCATAAACATCAGCTTCCTGTCCACCATGTTTGGACTGACCGGGCTGAAACTCGGTGACTCCAGGTCCGACACTCTCCACGATGCCGGCGCCCTCGTGGCCCAGGACCGTGGGGAAGCCGTCTTCGGTCATGCTTTCCAGCAGGTGGTACAGGTCCGAGTGGCACACCGAGGTCGCCACTATCTGTGCCAGGAAGTAACCATGACAACGGCCATGTCAGGGGGCTTCAGCCTTACCAATGTCCTTCTGATGACAGAAGAGGCGACTCCCACCTTGATGCGGACCTCACCGGCCTGCGGAGGAGCCACCTCGATCTCCTCGATGGTGGCCGGCGTGTTGGGCGCCCAGGACACCGCCGCCCTGCATCTGATGACCTGACAGCCCAACAGAACAGTCCGTTATTATGCATCATCACTGAGATCCTGCGCAGAATGAGCTGCTGATTGTTTGGGTGGTTTAGCCAGTCAGAGAACAAATGGAGGTTCGTTTTTCAGGCATATTTTAATCATACTTTTTATTCATTTATAAATGTTTTTAGCTTAAAAGCAAATATTTAGTTAGCTAGCTAAAAAAAACTAAATATGTAGCTTGCAATATTTTGTTATGGATTTCAATATTTATTTAGTTAGTTAACTAAAAGTTTAACTAGTTCACCAAGTATTTAGTTAGAAAGCTAAATATACATCACCAAACTACATTAATTAACTCCAAACAGTTTTTAGCTCAAAGCTAATTTAGTTTGGAGCTAGTTAGCTAACTAAAAGTTTTGTTTACAAACTAAATCAATTAAACTAAATTTTTAGCTATCACTCATATTCACTTGCGGTAACCGGAAGTGGACTACCAAAATAAAAGCTGGCTCTCACCACTGTTTTTTATTATTTATTTTTTATTGTTTGATACAGGCGGCTCTCAGAGGAGAAGCCTCAGCTCCAGGTTTGGATGCAGCTTCCCAGAATCTCCCAGTGATCCTCTTCCTCCTCATCGTCTTCTTCACTGTCTCCTCATCTTTTATATACATAAATTATAGGAATATTTTTTCATGATTCCCCAAACATTGGCTGAATATCTGCTTGTATGTTATTGTAATAAATACATTTTTATGAAAAACATTTTGACATTTATTTTTGTAAGATTTGAGTTTAAAGCTCTGACTACATACAGGTTGATACAAATTAAATATGAAATAATTATTTTAATGTTTCTTGCTTATAAATCCAGAGCTAAGACATAATGGAAAGAATCAACTCAGAAGTTGTTCATTATTTACTTATAACTGATCAGTTTCAACTGACTAATCAGACGTTATCAGTTATAAGTAAATAGTGTCATGAAGGGGACAAAGGTTTTCATTTCATGTTGGACAGTCATACTTCACTTATAAAAGACTGAACATGTATTGTGTGGTGTGTTAAACCACAGAAGCCTGTAACATTTTCCTAACACCAACTGATGTGCAAGATTATTATTTTAAGATTAAAGTTCAAATTCTGAGATTAAAGTCAGAATGATGACCTGTTTTCTTTCCCAAATCTTCTTCCATAGGCAAACATTTATTTAGCTTTTAATAATCTAATTGGCACATTATTTCAAACATTTCCTACCTGGTAGAAATAGATACATTTTTACATTTTGGATAACCTTTTCCCCATGCTTGTTCATGACATACCGGATTATAACTGGTATGCTATTCAGAAAGGAAAAACTAAAGGGTTTAAATGACGGGCAGGATGTTCTAGTCACGGTTTGAGCGTCTTTTTAAATCAGAGCAGATTAAAGGTTGGTAAAAATTGAGCGGACTAGCCCTTTAGCCATTTACTGAATCGGAAGCTGCATTTAGCAGCCATTAGCTCCATATAGTAAACAAAGTAGGAGTTTAAGGCTTTCTGTGTGAAGGTGTCATGACCAAATTAGTTACTTGCCGATTTGGCATGTAATTAATTTGGAGTCAACTCTCCTGCACAGAGACAACTTCCGGTTCAAACCGCTTGTCAAAAATGAAATAATAAAAATCGAAACGGACAGCTCCGTGTTTTCCATTTGGTGCACTAAATGGGAATCGGAATACGAGCCGAGCTGAGCCGTTATCCGACCTCCGCTTTTGGTTTAATAAACGAAAAAACGAGTCTATAGTTTTTTCACTTTTCATGTCAAACGAAAAAACGACCAGCCTGAAAATACACGGACCGTTCAGGTGGTTGTGTGGTTCCTCTCACCTTCCCAGCTGTGGACATGGTTGATTGATTGATTGATCCCAGAGATTCAGCAGCGAAGGAACAGAGGATCCGTACAGTCTGGCTCACGAACAGGGACTTTAACCTGCAGCTGCCATGCGGGTCCGGTCCGGTCCGGTCCAGTCCGGGCGGGGCGGGTCTCACCTTCACACGAGACGCTCCAGCAGAAAGAGGAAGAAAAAGTCCTTTAAGGAAAACGTGTTCCAGTCACTGGTGAAAATCAGTTGAGTTTGTTTAAAACCAGAATGAAACGAGAAATAAGATCCGGAAGTCATGAAGCGATCAGATTAAAGCTTTTAGTGAGACTCAGACAGCAGAACGATAATAATTATAAAGATGATAACCAGACGGGCTCCTGAGCCGCTGCAGCAAACAGTATCTAACCCGGAGAGGTCAGACTTTCATAACATTAGATTATTAAAGTCATCACGTGATTCCTTAAACAAACCATTTAATTTGATCTGCTGGTTGAATCTTTATTTTCCCTCAGCGAGGAACGAAGCCGTTATAAAACAATAAATCTTGTTTATGTGAAGGATTTTAAATGAGTTTTTAGCTCCATCCCTCTCTCCACTGATCAACCAGAGGATTTAATTTACTTTGCTGCTTATCAAGTTTGAGGAAATGAACTTTGGTTTGAGAGAGTAAAATGACTGTAAATGATTTATTTCTGAGCCAGGTGAAGGTTTATCTCTGCTTTATGACAGCCTTGGGCCAGCCCAAGGTAGAAGCAAACTTTGTGACTGCTGAGGAGAAACTGGTTGGAAAAACTTCACAGCTGAAAAATCATGTTGATAAATTTCTGATTTAAATATAATTTAGACATTTCTGCAGCTCTGCAGCTGTGGAAATATTGTTACACATTAACAGCAGTTTTCAATATTAAAGTATAACAGAGTATTAGGGCAAGACTAAGAAGCAAATATGAGAATTAAGTCATAATCTTACAAGTATAAAGTTGTATAATAGTCATATTAAGAAAAAGTAGAATAAATTTGTAATGAGTAAAAAGTCAGACTGCTGGAAAAAGTCAAACAAGAAAAATTTCAAGAATAAAGTTTTACGACAGAAAGTCCAAATAATACGAGTTTTATGATAATAAATCCGTAAAAATAAAAGAAAAAGTCACAAGAAATAGTTGAACTCAATAATCAAACTAATAAACCAAAATTAAAAGAAGAATGTTTAGTTTTACTTTATCATCAGTTTGACAAAGATCACATTTCATCGTTTAGGATTCATCAGATTGTTATCAGACTGAACTGCTGACATGATTATTATTTAGAAGATTTGTCTGAAGATAAAACGAGACAAAACGAGAAATCAGCTTCTAGATACGTTCTGCAAAAGATTAAACTAGAACTAGAAACATAGAGTCAGTCCAAGGCAGAATCCAGGTCAACTGTTTATTTTGTAACGTCAGCAGGAGGATCTGTGGGTCAGGATGGAAACGTTCCTGGACAGACGCTCGATGACGTCACTGAGGAGAAACGCTCAGCACGGCCCGGATGCTGCAGAGACACAGGAACATCCAGTCAGGACAGTTTGACCCAGGAAGTGAATATCTGGCGTTAATCTGAGCAGGAGTTCGGGTCGTACCACCGGCTGTTCTTCATCAGCTCCACGGCTTCGTTGATCTGCTCCAGCCTCAGGTTGTGGGTGATGAACTCGTCCACCATCAGCTTCCTGTCCAGGTAAGCTTTGACCATCTGAGCAACGCCGTCTTTCCCTTTAAACCCTGCAGCAGAGGAAGCGTCATCAGGTACTGTTCCTTTAAGAACAGGGCCGGGTCCAGACTGAAATATATGGGGGGCTGAGCATGACGAAAATTAACCAAAATCAATCTGAAACCACATATTTACATACACCTTTAAACCTCCAAACTTTTTCAACAATATGATTTATTTTTGCTAAGCGCTAAAATAATTAGAGAAATTCTGCATTAAATTGTTTCTAATGCAGAGTCATTAAGACAGTGATGATGTCATGGCTTCAGGAGCTTCTGATTGGTTAATCAGTGTCTCCTGATGTGAGGAACGGTTTACCGTTAGCTAATGCTAAAGCTAACTCCAGAAGCTGCTGGTTCTGATGCTGAGATCCATTTCTCACCTCCAAACAGAGTTCCCGTCCATTTCCGTCCAGTCATGAGGTGGATGGGCGGGGCGCTGAAGTTCTCCATGTCGGTCCAGCCGGCGATCACGCTGACCCCCCAGCCGGGGGCGCATGACTCCAAGGCGCTGCGCTGCATGTAAGCACATCACTCATCAGTCTGGCCTCGGCATTCACACACCGTGAGACCCTGACCCTCACCATGACCTCCACATTCCCGATGCATTCGAAGGAGAAGTCCACTCCGCCGCCGGTCATCTCCTGCAGCAGCTGCTGGATGGGTCTGCTGTGGTCGTTGGGGTTCACCACATCAGTGGCTCCCAACACCTTGGCTTTCTCAAACTTGTCCGGGTTGATGTCGATGGCGATGATCCTGCTGGCTCCTGCCGCCTTGCAGCCCATGACGGCAGCCAGGCCCACGGCTCCCAGACCGAACACGGCGCAGCTGGAGCCCGCTTCCACCTGGAGGTCATGGATTAAAGCCGTTGACGGTTTCCCTCTCTAACCTGAGCGGTCTGGACAGTGAGGGTCGTGTTTGGGCACCTTGGCGGTATTGACGGCCGCTCCGTAGCCGGTGCAGATGGCGCAGCCGATCAGACAGACTCTGTCCAGCGGCGCCGCCGGGTCGATCTTGGCCACAGACATCTCCTTCACCACGGTGAACTCAGAGAAGCTGCTGGTTCCCAGGAACTGCAGCAGCTTCCTGCCCCTGCAGCTGATCCTGGAGCGCTCAAAGCTCCGCTCATCAATTTTTCCGGCCGACCTGAACACAACATACGATCCATAAGTTTCATATCGATCTATAAACTAATAAAAGCACCAGTAAGATCTGGAAATGACAGGGAGACGAGCGGACACCCGTTGACGCAGAGATTGGTCTTGGGACTCTTGCAGAGGCGGCATTCCCGACACTGAGGCATGAACAGCGGGATCACCGTGTCTCCTGGACCACAAACATGTCAGATTCAGCAGAGTTAAAGCAGAACCAGGCGGTCCGGCTGGTTCTACTGACCCGGCTGGAACTCTGTGACCCCGGGTCCGATGCTCTCCACCACACCGGCTGCTTCATGGCCAAAAACCACCGGGAACGCCGTCTGATTCGAACATTTGGACAGGAAGTACAGATCCGACTGACACACTCCTGTTGCCACGATCTGCAGAGGAAACGACACAATGACAGTAACGACAGTCAGAGTTCAACAGGAGCTTTGATGGCTCAGATGATTCTAGCTTTATTATTCACATTTTGCTTCATTTGCTCTGACCTTGATCCGGATCTCCTTCTCCTGAGGCGGCGCCACCTCAACCTCTTCGATCACCAGAGGCTGGTTGAACTCCCAGGCTACTGCTGCCTTGCACCTGATGACCTGCAGACGGGTGAAAACCTCTGAACCTCACAGCAGCTAGCAGCATCAGCAGCTAGCGCTGAATCTGTTTGGATGATCCAAATAAACTAGTTAGTAAACTTTGACTGTTGCAGGAAGCCTTAAACTAATTTATTAAATATCTGAGGGTTTCTCTGGGATGATTTCAACACTTTCATATCCTGTAAATATCCATCCATCTTCCAGCCTTATCCCATCAGGGAGGCAGGTCACCAGTTCATCGCCAGGGCAACACAGAGACAATCAGGACACACACACACACACACACACACACACACACACACACACACATACGGAGAATTTGGAGAGGCCAATAAACCTGACAGTCATGTTTTTGGACTGTGGGAGGAAGAACCCACCAAGCAGAGGGGAAACATGCTAACTCCATGCTAACTCCATGCTAACTCCATGCAGAAAGCCCCAGGCTGGGAATCGAACCCAGGACCTTCTTGCTGCAAGGCAACAGAGCTGCCAGCTGCTCCACTGTGCAGCCTCCTGTAAACATGTAACTTAAAAATATAACATTTACTTTTGCTTAGAAAGGAAGGTAAACTCATGATCCTGCCCTTGAATCTTTCCTCACTAATTGTTTATTTTGCTTTTGTTTTTGTCCGTTTTTATGTCAGATTTATGATTTGAAGTGATTTCACTGAAAGTCGATTAGTTTGTCTCCCTGTTAACATGAAGGACGCTGCGTGTCTTAAAGCTGCGGCGCTGCAGCTCCTGGGCAGCCATGAAACGTTTGTCTTTTCATTTTCCTTTATGAAGAACTGATGAGGCTGCAACAATTTCAGCTTTATAAGAGGCAAAGTAAAACTGAACTAAATACAAAATTTACACATTTTAGTGCAAAATTCAAGGTTTCTTAAAGATTTCCCTGAATGGGAAGTTGGCTCATTTGCTACAAAATTAGATGGAAAATCTACTTTCCAAACATCTAGTGCAGTAACACCAGGAACATGAGATAAGCTCTTACACAACCTGCAGGTTAACGTCGGCTCATCAGAGCAAATATTAGCTTTATGCTGCAGCATTCTGCAGTGAGATCATTTCACTGGATGCAGATTTTAGCTTTTTTACTTCTGCATTTTGTTGCAGGATTTCTCACTTTGCTACTTTAAAAAACATCTTAAATGGTTTTAAATGTTTTATCCAAACATTGCATTATGTAGCAAAACAGGATGAAAACTTCGACTCAGACCTACAAATATTTACTGAAGAATTTAAAACTAGTTGTCAAAAAGACATGAGGTCCTGCTTACCTGTCCAGCTGTGGCCATCTGTCCTGCTGAGTGTCGAAATGTCAGCGGCTCTGGTGGAAGCTGGGACTTTAACCTGCTCAGGTCAGGCGGTTTACCGCTGTTACATTTTAAACTAAGGTTTAAAGGTTTTTGGATAAAGCCCAACTGACCCGGCTGGACCTAAAGATATAACATTTGCTTTTGCTTAAAAAAGAAGATAAACACAGAAGGGAGTCGATCAGAGCTGGAGGCCTTCAGGCAACAATTTCATTTCTCATCAGATATAATCTGACATTTCTCTGTTCTCCATAAAACCAACAGGCTGCATGAAACCAGAGAGGATTTGGACAATATTTCAATTTAAAACACTTTGTTTGTCCCTCAAATGAAAGTATTGGATCAGCGTTGCTGTAGTTTTAGATGTATTGAGTTTTATTTCACTGGAGAGCTTTTTGTGGTCTTAGAACGAAAACAGGTTGGAGCATAAATTAATCGCTTTTTGTTGAAGAGGAGTTATCATGTCAGTTATTATTTGTGTTATTGGCTGCTTTGCATCAGATGGAAATGTGTCGAGTTAAATGAACCAAGTCGACCTGACCTGGAAAGTCAGGGAGGAATTCAGATTTGGAAATATGTGGAAGTAACAGATGAAATGTTCCAGGTGTGGACGATCCTGGATGATCCTGGATGATCCTGGACGATCCGGGATGATCCTGGACGATCCTGGACGATCCTGGACGATCCTGGATGATCCTGGATGATCCTGGACGATCCTGGACGATCCTGGATGATCTTGCGCGTTCTCCCAAGAGTTCACTACAACACAAATCCAGAGATCTGCATCAGACAGCAGACAGACTGGTTGTGGACAGACTAGCCTATAAAAACATGAAGGTGCATTTAGAACATCGGCCCAAATAAAGTAAACATGAATGCGTCCAGTGTGATTATTTGATTTATTAGACACTTTTTCACTCCAAAACATGAATAAATTGTTGGCAGTTGTCAAATTTGAAACCTCTAAAATAAAAGAGCAGAAAATAATAAAAGAGCTGCTGGGATGACCTTTGACCCCACCCAGATGGTGTGAAGCTAAAATAATATCTCTGATGGACAACGTCTCCCCTCCTCGCATGAAGTTTTATTCACTTTTCTAAGCACAAATATTCATGCATATTGTGTGGATTTACTATTCTCAGCAAAACGAGATTTAATCTGCAGAATTCAGCTAAATCGGAACAAACTGCCTTTATTATGAATCCTTTATTCTGATTCACGCACATTTCAAACTGAGACTGTAATCCAAAAAGTTTTTCACATTAAAATTTCCATTGTAAGGTTTTTCTGTTGCAGGTTTGATAGCCTACAGCCTCCTGAACCCGCGACGGTTCTGCTGAGGAGAAACACTCAGCACGGTCCGGATGCTGCAGAATAACAGAAAAAAGTCACAATCAGGAGATTTTCATCCATGAAAATGAATATTTATGGTGTTATTATCAGCAGGGCTTCGGGTCGTACCACCGGCCGTTCTTCATCAGCTCCACGGCTTCGTTGATCTGCTCCAGCCTCAGGTTGTGGGTGATGAACTCGTCCACCATCAGCTTCCTCTCCAGGTAAGCTTCCTCTCCAGGTAAGCTTCCTCTCCAGGTAAGCTTCCTCTCCAGGTAAGTTTTGACCATCTGAGGAACGCCGTCCTTCCCCTTGAAGCCTGAAGGCAGGAACAGTTCAGCAGTCAGCTACAGACTGGAGGATTTCTCTGCTGTTTTCCCCTGACAGTCCGGTAAACTCTGCTGGATTGGAACCAGAACTCCATCACCTGCTCCACCTCCAGCTGCTGTGGTTCTGAGTCAAACCAACCTGTTCCCCTCCTGGCCTGTGGGGGCGCTGCACCAAGAACCTCTGAAGACACTGAGAGCAACTTCCTTCTTCACCAGATGGAAACAAGATGGAGGCGTCAAATTTTAGCGGTTGGAGGATTTCTCTATAGGCTGAAGACCAGGAGCCATTTCTGCTGCTAGCGCTAGGCTAACACGTTAGCTTTGGTTGGATTTACCCAGAATGCCCTGCGCTGTAGTCCACTTTCTGCTTTTGGAGCGGTCACTGGTCTGCTTGGCGTTCACATTCAAACCGAACCAGAGTTCACTTCAACCAAACTGAGGTTTGGAGGACCAGAGTTAGTTCATTTTCTAATCAGGGTTTGATTATGCATTCAGAGCTCCATCAAACAAACCGGACTTTCTACACAGATGGACTGGAGTTGGATTAAAGCGGACTGGACAGGGCTGATGGGAACTCGGCCTTTGACTGGTGCGTGGAATACGGCTCACCTCCGAACAGCGCTCCCTTCTGGGTCATGAGCTGGATCGGTTGAGCGCTGATGTCTCAGATGGTCGTCCAGCCAATGATCACTCTGTATTGACAGCCGATCAGACAGACTCTGTCCAGCGGCGCCGCCGGGTCGATCTTGGCCACAGCCATCTCCTTCACCACGGTGAACTCAGAGAAGCTGCTGGTTCCCAGGAGCTGCAGCAGCTTCCTGCCCCTGCAGCTGATCCTGGAGTTTCAAAGCCATCCACATCTAATCTCGCCAGAATCCCGAGGAGAACATGAATTCATTTCTGCAGCCTAATGAACACATGATGATGCAATGAAGGGAAAACGACAAGCTCCGTACGCGCCGACACACATGTTGGTCTTGGGACTCTTGCAGAGGCGGCATTCCCAACACTGAGGCATGAGCAGCGGGATCACCGTGTCTCCTGGACAATGGACAGATTTAATCTGTGCTCAACACAGTCAGGTTTAGCCTGAGGAACCAGGCGGTCCGGCTGGTTCTACTGACCCGGTTGGAACTCCGTGATCCCGGGTCCGATGCTCTCCACCACACCGGTGCCACTTCAGGCCACTGAATCCATCCGTCCGTCATCCATGTCCCTTTTACTTCTAAAGGTTTTTTCATGTTTCTGCTCATTTGTCTCTGATTTCTTGTCGAGTGTTTTTTAGAGCCAGATTTCTTTCTGCTTCGATGTTTCCTGGATGTTCCTCGGATAAAACGCTGCCTGTGTTGTTGCTTCAGATGTTAACCTCAGCAGACGGGAACAACGAGCTTCCTGTTGTGTTTCAGGTCCTCTCTGCTGTTTTAGCCGACATCTGTCTGGTTGTTTCTTGTCAATCAGCTGCAATTACTTGTTAACATCAACATGCTACACAAAGACTTATTAGCAGAAGGAAAGTCATGTAGGTTCATAATGACCTTTTCTAAAAGACAACTCATAAAGAAACACTAAGAGCTACCTGGACCAGAAAGCGTCTTTTGTTGCTCAGGAAGGGAAACAGGAGAACTGTGGATCATTTGTCTGCTGAAGAGTGATGTGTCGCTATTTACTTAATATTCTATGCATCTAAACAGAAACTATGTGAAAGTGATGAAGGGTTCTGATGCTGCTGCTGGACAAATAGGAGAACTGATGTGGAACAAATTTAGATAAGGAAAAATAGCTGACAGAACAAAGAACAACTCTTATCAGCTTTAACACATACAACACTCAGGGTAAATGATTTTATTTGCTCCAAATGTTTCATGACCCCAGATGTGATCATCATGCAGGACAGATGAACCAGGAACTGCAGCTGAACAAAAGCCAAACGCCGAGCCAGGCTCTGGGGGAGGGGAACATTTTGAAAGGAGCTTTGTTGACTCAAGGAGAAACTCTCAGGACCGTCCGGATGCTGTGCAGCAAAAAGAGGAGAGATGAGAAGAAAAACTGGAAGGTTTGCACAACGGAAGAGCTTCTGTCTGCCGTTACTTAGAACGTACCACTGGCCATGCTTCATCAGCTCCACGGCTTCATTGACTTTCTCCAGAGTCATGCTGTGAGTGATGAACTCATCCAGCTTCACCTTCCTGTCCAGGTAGGCCTTCACCATCTCAGGAACACCGTCCTTACTCTTGAACCCTGAGGCACATGAAACAAACATGAAACAAACATGAAACAAACAAACCGATTCAGATCCACGAACCGATCCAGATCCACGAACCAATCCAGATCCACGAACCGATCCAGATCCACGAACCGATCCAGATCCATTTAACCCGTCAGTGATCTTAGGGGATCCTGACAGGGATCCCCTAAGATCACTGTGACCCCACCGCGGCCTGGTGGGGTCACATTGAC